GATGGATTGTTCCATTCATACACCTTTCCAGCTTCCAGCAGTTTAGAAAAAAAAACCAAACCCAAACCAACTGAAAAAAACATTTAGGCACTTGGTTTGAACTGTAAATGGCATCATTTACTGTTATGTGATAACTAATCTTTTATCAGCTGTCGGTGAATTTATCTTTAATACATAGATATCTCCAGCTCCACAGCATTCTGTGGTTACAAGAAAGTGCCTCTTATTTTTTTTAAATGAACAACACACCCACACAGCCCAAAATAACCCCAGCAAAATAAAACCAAGAAACTCGCCAAGCTACCATCTGATTACTTTATTGGGTCTTAGCAAATAATTAATCACTGGTGCTTTTGGTGGGTTTTAATAAACCTTTACCACATCTCCCTCTTGGTATTTCCAAGACAGGAAGTCCTAACACTTGGTGTCCTCTCCTATAGAGACACTGTGTGTCTCTTTTCTACAGCTTCATTTTGTTTTTTTAATCGTTTATAGATCTGTTTTTGAGATCAAATGATTAGATCTTCATGCAGTATTCACAGTGTGGTTGCACAATGAATTTGTGATGGTATATTGTTGAATTTTGTGTTCTGATGCCCTTACTGACAGTTATTACAATTTTATTTTTGTGAGGATGGACCTCACTTTTAAGAAACAATCTGCAGTCCCTCTGCAGTCTTTGAGTGATGGTAGTTAATTTGGAGCATATCATTGTGTCTGAATACTGATGTCTCTCTGTCTCTTCCCTCTTCCATTTGTGTCATTTCACTTTTTTAACTTAAACTTCATCTGTCATTTTGTTCCTGAGTCACTAGGTGTAAATCTCTTCAATGTTGCTATGCTGTTCATTTTTTATTTTGACTCTCCTGAATAACTTTGTATACCAATAAATGTTAGGTTTGTTGCTAATATTCTATAGAGCACATTTAAAATATGTTGAACAGCACAAGTCTTAGTGTATGCCCCCATCAAATGTCACAGATTACATCCCTTCATGAAAAGTGGTTACAGACTTCTGTTTTTGGCAGTTTGACTCTTTCAGTCAGGATGATTCTCTTTCAGTGTTCTCTTTGCTTTCAGCTTCTTTACAGTGTTGCCTTGTGGCATGGAGTTCAAGCAGCATTGTACAGGGCTATCAAAGCATGGAGAGTTGCATCAGGGAACCACATGATGCATTCAGAGGTGGAAATAGGCTACTAATGAAACTAATGTTTCTGAGACACTGTGAAAAAGTTCCTAAACATCTTTGTTTTGAGGGCAGGCTTACTTAAAAACTAGACATGAACCATAGAATTTTGTGGAGGAATGTGGATTGATGTGTGAGGTATTCTTCATTTCACAGACAATGTCAAAATACAATTGCTCCAACACTTGAAATAAATTATTCTGTAGCTTCAGAGAATGAAAACTTCATTTAGTAGCTTTATATACTATTAAAAATTCAAACATGATATTTAATTGCAAATAAGCTGTTCTCCAAATAGATTGCTGTTGGGGGGGAAAAAAGTAATGTTATTCTGCTAAATAGTCTAGATACCTAAATTGCCTTTAGGAGATATCGCTCTGACTCAATAAGCTTGATGAATGAAATGCCCAAATAAGAACTAAAAAAAATAATTGAATATGATATAGTCTTTTGTGGAGTTTGTGTATATTAGAGTTATGGTGAAGCTCATTTCTAGATTCTTTGACAAAATCAATTTATGCCCTGAAGCGTGAGTTTTGATAAGTTGGGTTGTTTTTTTTTTGGGGGGGGGTTGGCTTTTGTTTTGTTTTCAATTATTGCAGCTTTAATATGGTGTTGAAAATTACTTGCATATGTGCAGGAAAAATTGAGGCTGGGGAATAAATGAAATATTCTGTCCACAGAACTTCAAAGCAAAGTTTGCTTGCACAAAGTTGGCAGTGGGGTAGAAAAATTCCATAGTCTGGAACCATTTGACTATTATACATCATTTGAAACAGTCTGTCTTAGACACAGCAGAACTGCATTAAAGGAAAGCAATTTCCCTGGTTTATACTTTTTCTACTAGCAGAGCATGTAAGTTGCATCTGAACAAGGCTGCTTGCAAAAGTATGTGCAGATTTTTTCATTGCATCTTTAATATAGATTCCTCTATTCAATTATATTGGCAAATTTGTGTATACACTATATTGAAGCTATACTATAGCTTTCTACTGCAGGGTAGTTGAACAATTTAGCAAAACCCCACAGAGTGAAAGAGTGCATGTCTTTTCCAGGATGTTGTAATTTTGTTAGCTTAAGTAAGCATTTCATCACTATCCCTTCATCAGTTTAGGACTTGCATCTTTCGGCTTTGAATATTTCAGCAGTGAACATTTTAAAATAAATTGGCAAGACTCACTTAAGAGATAAAGTAGCATTTCTTCATTTTCCAACTCCTGAAAAATGCTAAAGCTGTTTTCGTTCAGTTCGAGAATCTAGGAAACTTGACATCTTTAACATAATTTTTAACCTTGTCAAGGAATGTTGGAAAATAAAATTGATAGGAAATTTGCATGTTGATAGACACTTCTATTTTAGGAGATATGACAAGTATTTTTAGACTTAAGATTTTCAGTAACTTTTATACTCAGCGTTAGGTACCGCTTGCTTGAATTTCTGCTAACAGTAGCTTTGTGTGTATAGTCAACAAAAAAGTTGTGAAAATTAAATTCAAATACAGATTCTAATCAATTAGATGATATTGCATTACAGGAAATTAATTAATTACATATTCGTCCCTCCCTTGTCAGAAATTACTTCAGAGACAAAACTGCCTTGTCAGAGGACAGAAAGTGCTCTTGGCCATGTTTAATAGCAGCCTTTTGAAGTTTGAGAAGTTCTTTTTTTGGCCATAGAAGTTCCTAGGAATGAGTATGGATGCATGCTAATGTGACTGCAGAGTCTAAGGGGATAGATGACTAGAAACCTGAATTATTTAAATAAAGTTTGTCTTGATGTGTTTGGTTTGAGGACAATCAGACATGTAACTCAGTCATCAGAGACTGAATAAATGAATTATTGTATCTGGGTATCAGCACTCTCCAATACTGAGTATTCAAGTGAGGATGTTCTCTGTGATATGTCACATGCACAGTACTGGACATGACAAGACTGTAATCTGTAGCAAAGTAACTGCTGCAGAGCCAAGTGTTGGGCTTTATAGAGTTGCGTACAGAGATTAACACTTGGTAATTCTAGCCTCTATGGAGATTTTTGCTCATAATCTTCAGCAGTTATGTTTCTAGGATTTGGCCTTCTACTGAACTTTCTAGACCAGTTCTAGTGTATGGTGAACATCATATGGTACACCAATTCAAAATGCAAGTGCAATTTTTGTGCATAATAGGCAAAACTGAGCTTGGTGAGATAGTTATGGGCATTGTTTAAGCACCAAAACTGTTGGTTACATGCACTGATGTGCATACAAGTAAGGATAGTATGTGGCTTTCTCACTGATGGCATAGTGGTGATTGTTCAAAACTTTGAAGCTTCTCTATGAAAACTGAGTTCAAGTGAGCTTCAAAACAAAGGGTGAAATGGCATGTTTTCGCTTGCTCTTTAGAAATGGAACCACAGTCCAGATAACAGCTAATGAAACATGCTTCTTCCCATCTCTAATGTAACCCTTCTCAGATATCCTTCAGAGGTTCTTCATCTGGATTTAATAATCATAGTGGTCTCTGGGAAGGTGCTTCATTTAACAAGCAGAGGGAAAAGATGTCTTCAGTGCAGCCACGTCACATACAATAAAAAAAACAAAACACCCAAACAAACAAACAAACAAAAACCAAACAAAAACCCCACAAGAAAACACTCATAATCCTGTTCATATTGGGAAGGTCCTGGGCTTTTAAGCAAATACTCACCATCTGTCATATCAGCCTCTCACTTTCTTTGGAATAAAACTACTTTTTTTTTTTCTTTTTTTTTTTTCTTCTTGCAACATCTCTACTTAGCAGTCAGTAACTGCAATTATTTTTATAACTTTTCATTCTGGAGAATTTAAATGTAACCAAAACTTCCCATTTAACTTTATAGTGGAGGCAGAAGTACATGTTGAATGAGACAAATAATGCAGCTGAATATAATTTTTGCTGGTGTGCATTTCAATTTTACAGAGAATCGACAAGGTGGTATTTGTTGGCAACTTTCTCAGAATTAATATGATTTCTATGAAGGTGCTAGCATACGCTATGGATTATTGGTCCAAGGGACAGCTGAAAGCTCTGTTTTTGGAACATGAGGTAAGGAAATACATGTTGAACTTACTTTTATTTATAAGTGCAAAAATCTTAGGGTTCTTGACTTGGTGACATTAAAAGTGAGAATTTCAATGTCATTGCTTGGAAGTGAATGTACAAAGTAAGTTCTGCATAAATATAATTTAATTACAAATTCAGTTGAAAATACCCCTTTTTAACTCCATGACTTGATCACTAATCTCATGGTATGTGCTGCTAAATGTTGCACATCTCTTATCTTTGCTTTCTGACCCTAGTACCAACAGTGTTCATTTGCATGGTCTGATATATTAACCTCAATTAGAATTAATTTTTGTAAGCACAATTTTGAGGTAACTGTCAGATGGTTGTGTTCATAATGGTAACTGTCCTGCTTCAGTACAGCATCATTATAGTGGTTCCCTTAATTTTTTCTTTCTCAAGAATTTTAAAGAACTGTGTAAGATTTCTCCCAGTATAAGGCCTTTTCTTGGACCTAAACAAGATCCTGTTAAATTGTAATTCGGATACAGTAAACAGCTGGCACGTCATGTCTGATCTTGTAAGAAGGATCTTTTAATCGCCTTAACAAAACTGATGATTTCACATGCTCATGTCTTATTTTGGAATTTGATTTGTTTTGCTTTTGCCTTGTTTAAAGGGTTATTTTGGAGCTGTTGGGGCTCTTCTGGAGTTGCTTAAAATGACAGACGATCAGTGATGAAGCTGTCTGGAGAGATTCCTATTGCAGATGCTGCTGGATAAGAGTGAAAGCCACTACAAGGATGGAAATGAAGCCATTATGGTAGTTCTACCTGCTGGATTTGTAAATAATTTAAAATCCTTTTAGCTGATCTTTAACTTCTGGGTTTTGAGCTTATACTTCAGAATTCATACTGGGAATAATGAGAATTTTTTTTTCTGTACACTGTATTTTTTAGGGGAAAAATGTGCAAAGTGGCCAAAATACAGATTTTATGGATTTATTTTAAAAAGTGGATACTGTTTAATGTAGGACCTGTGATATGAGGCATCTGCTTTTCTTCTGGGGTTTACTGATCAGTGTGGTAATTTTAACTTCATTTAGTAATCACTCTAGGAGATTTTTTGTATCTTATTTTCATGACGTTTCATGATTTGTTCTTGGTTTCAAATGAAACTACAAAGCTGATGCGTTTTACTGTGAAAACTAGTCATTGATTTTTTGCCTTTCCTTTCCTCATTAGATGAGACACTTTTTTATTTAACACACCCCTTCCCCTGT